GAAAGTCATCACATAACGGCATTGTAATACACGGTTCGGCTGTATTAAATATTACATATCTGCCGTAGTTCTGTATTTATAGAGCCCTGATGAGAAGACTTCTAGACAAACATGAGGAACTGAAAACGTGACGTGGATCATAAATATATCAGCCATTAAAACAACATCTTACATTTATTTTCACACAATACGTCTCCTTGCAGTATCAACACTAATTCGGCTGACTTTTATATTTGATCCAATTGGTAGATAGGCTGTATTTACACCATAAAGGTGCACAGCTGATATAAAGGGACACCTAGTGGTTAAAGCATGTTATTGAATTTCATTATTTGTATTATTAGATATTAATAGGATCCCTATAAAGTATGTTCATTACTCGTTATTCTCTACTAATAGTTAATTAAAGACTGTATATAATGACTATTTTGCACATCCCTTTCAAGATTTCAAGATTTTCTAAGGTTTATTGACATATCATATAGGCCTACACAACTATGGTGTAGTTATGCATTGAATGAAAACTTGGGTCGCAGGTTCCTCAATAGTGCATTACAAGACATCTATCAATATTTGTGCGTACCTCCAGCAATGTTAACTATGTTGAAGCACTTATTTTAACTGATATTATACATAATGTATTATACTCTTATAAGATGTATGTAGATATTTCATCTCCGGCCTTGTCAGGTATTGAACAATCAATAAATAAAGAACACAGAATTGTTAAATATAAAACACAGAATTTGTGTGATTATACTAAATGATTTACAAATAAACACCACTGCATATTTACAACTGTTACACATGCTGATGTAACGCAAATGTTCCAACTTGGGATCAATAATATCTATCATATATCGATGGCTACTGCCATATTTGCAGAATTTGCCTCTGAACCTTGACAAGTGCATGTTTCAGGCTTATCAATTAATGTAATGTAATGTAATGTTATCAATTAACAACAGGGGTCACAAACACAAGACCAGCTGTTAAATAAAGCTCTTCTGACCTTAGCTGGCATGTGTGTTGTTAGAGATTTGGAGGGATAACTGGTCCGCTTTTCAAATCTCCGCGCGTTCCTATGAAGCTGGTTATAATACAGGAAGGAATCCATATCTACAAAGTAACCGTTAACAATAATCTACTTTAATGGCAATATGACAATGCAATACAATCATTACAATACAACATGATATATTACAGTTATATTGTAATACTTAAGGAGTAATACCGGCTTACTCCTGCCCTGGTTCGCATACTGCAGAGCTACTTTCACCCGAGGGCAGCATGTGAAGAAGAGGCCGAACGCCAGGGATCCACCGGATATATACCAGAGTAAGAAGGAGGGGTTTGGTGTTAGGTCAGCTGGTCATCTTTTCAGGTCATCTCATTGGGAGACGCAACGCTGGCCAGCAGGAAACCAAACAGGCTCACTTTACAACAAAAGGTCTCAAGGCCTGCATACCTACACCTCCCCCACAGAGCAATAAAACCCTGTTTACTCCAACCAGCCCAGAATGTTTATAGCCATTTGTAGTCCTTACATTTATGAAAGGATAAAACAGAGAAATCAATATAAAACACAAACACAGGTATTATTTGAACAGTATTCACTTAACTGCTACTATTGATAAGCACCAGAGAAACCCAAGGGACCTCTCTTAATATTACAACCACTGTAGCTCGTTCTAAGTTGAATGCAAATCAGGACATGCTCTCACCTTCCCCCATCTTCCTTTGTCCTCAAAAACACATGTCAACAGGCCCCAAATGCAGCTCACAGTTTTACCCAAATTATTCTCATTTTAAGCTTATCCATAGTTTGCTAACATGAATAAATACAAATATAACTCTACAGTGTATATATATTAATGCTGCCCATTATGGGCACAAGCAATTTTCACCCATTTATTAATTATATGTTTTAAATTTGAGTGTTTCCTATCCCCTAAACCTCCAGGGATGTACACAGTTTAATACTGGCAACTTCTTATTATGGGAAATACGAAAACGTCTTTTAAAACTACAACTCCCAGTAGAGACGTGCCATAGATAGAGAACATGTTGCGAAACAGAATAGCCAGCATGTGTAGTTCTGGGGACGGGGTGGGGGAGGGGGGGACGCGGTGGACCCGTTCAAATCCAGTTTTGGACAGTCTGCTGTGGTTCCATCCCATTTCAAGTGCTGTTCGAGGCTCGGCGTAACTCTCGGAGCACACTCTCCAATCACAGAGCTTGAGGACTATCACGGGGTTTGTCAAACAGAGCACATGGTGTAGTCCAAACGATAGCTGGGGATTCTGGGTAGTGTAGTGTCTTCTGCTATCCTTTACTCCGAAAAAATATTTGTTTCTCCGAATCGAAGGGGAAAAATACAAAAGCATTGCACACAATTTAAACCAATCAATGTTGTGTAATTAACAAGGATAATCTGGTGTTTTTTAGTCGATGAGTAGTGCAGATATCACTGTAAAATCAATCGACAGTAAGAGGAATACTTACTTCCGGGTGTACAATTCTCCGTTATCCAATGAGAATGGACGCTCACATTGCCTTTAAGGGCAGCCGACACAAACAAATGCCGTGCTTCCATGAGCGTCATTACCAGTAGAAATACATTGCTTTTAAAATCGTGCTGTGCAACACGAAAAAAAGGGGGAAATCGTGTTGGTGAACACGAATCAATAGATTGAAAATCGTGTTGGTGAACACGAAATGCCATGAGACTGGGTTGTAACTCTATAGCATTCCGTTTTTGCAACAGTGAAATTGCAAAAGAAGGCAAGCAGGCATACCATAGCATAAACCAATTATTTTCTCCAAAGATTATTTTACAAGAGACTAAAAACCACACACAGCTTCTTCACCTTTCAACTTTTATTGAATGCCCTTTTGGAAATAAAAAAAATAATTGACATAGTTCCTTTTATGCTCGTGTGCAGTTCTTTCCGTGCCCATGAACTGTGGTTAATATGTGAGATACAAAGTAAGTGTGAAGGTAAACTTCTGTTGTTGCAATGTTGAGGTAGAATGAAGGAGTCTGGAACCGTTGTTAGCCAAAAGCACTGAGAGTTTTATTGGAGAAAGTACAGACAATACGGCCGGGAGATCATCTTAGTTTCACACATGTCCAGTGCTCCACCAGCGATCTCTGAACCAAAAGACACAAAACATCTAACCAACACGAGGAGAGGCCGGCCCATAGAAAGCCCGCGTATACCTAATCAATAGCCGATGCGAGACAATGGTCTGCTTGTCTCAAAGAGATGCTGCCAGGTCAACCCTCCCCCACGGACATAGGAGAAGCGTTTGACCTGTGACCTCAACCTACAGAGGAGTCTCTGACTGACTACAAGCAGATGTTTGCAGTATCTCAGACTCTAAGGAACCATAAGAGACTCTATAAACAGATCAGATGAAAATATTCTCTTACAGTAAGCACCTGGACTAGACACATTCAGACAGTCATTATGTTACAGTTTTTGTACTGCATTCTTTCTTCACAAAAGAAACACTAAAGAAGTTCACCCTAACCCAGAAATACTCAGAGATGACTTCTTTTATAGACTAATACAGACTGATTGCTGATTGCAGTGTTGTGTAAAAAAAAGTATTATTACAAAAGGTGCTCAACACTTATATAATCAAGTAAGTAATTGCTATCAGCTATGAATATATGTGTTCCATTTGTTTGAAACAGTTAATCCAAAAAGTGTTATACAAGATGTTTAGTATTTAATAATGAGTTATTAGCAGATCCTATTTTCATTGTTGCCAAGCAATTAAAGGTGGAGTATGTAATTTATTTCAGAAACACTTTTTGTTATATTCCATGGAATGCTCTTAACATCCCGATAGCAATGAATATATTAAATGCTTTGACAATAAATACATTAAAACATTTCATCTGTGGAAGCCGTAGTACTGTAAAAAGCACGACCAATCATTTTAGCCGGGGCTAAAATAACTGGATGGCCTACCTGCCTGTCAGCCTTCCATCTGTGCACAAACTTATCTCGTGCTCTCATTAGTCATGTGGGCGTTCGTGTGTGTTGGAGGAGGGGCTCTGTAAGGTCATGTGGGCGTTCGTGTGTGTTGGAGGAGGGGCTCTGTAGCGCACTCGAGCGGGTTTCTCCAAAATTACCCACCCCACCTTTAAGGAAAATTGTAAAAGGTTTAAACTTGAATGTAGTTCTTGTTTATTTTATAGATTTTTTTTAACCAATTTGCTGGTGCACGATATATACATAATTCAGTATTTTTGTATCTGTTTATTAGTTTGTTGCATGTAAATCAATCAATGTTTAAGTCAAGATGTTAGTCACTTTCTCACAGTAAGGCATAAAGCTTATTAAATTAACATTTATATCAGTACTTGGTGTCGGCCAATGGACAAAGGTATGAGTACCGAGACAGTCAGATTTTGCATCCCTAATAAGAGGAGATTGGAAAAGCAGAGGAAGGGATTCATGAAGGAAAAAGGAGATCAAGTCAAAAGAGGAAAGCAAATGCAAGGACAGAGAAATTAATGAAGAGATAAACAGATTGTCACAATGAAAAGGTTTGAGAGTTGGAGGGAACGTGGGCAACACTGTTAAGCAAGAGACTCAGAAAGACGTAAGTGTTCTAACAAATTATTTTAAATAAGAGCAGCGGCTCATGAAGGTGATAGCATTCGGAATGCCTCCAACAAACCATTTAACATTCACCGCTAGAACCGACTGTAGATATGATTGCTTCACGCAATGCATCCAAATGTTTTTTTAAATATGAAATGCTGCCATCCAGGTCGTGAATTATTTTCTCCAATTTTGCTCATTCTGCTCTTTGATTTCACACCTGGCTCAGGTTTTGCTGATAGGGTTTAGACAAAGCATCTTCAACAATAAGTACCGTGAAGCATGACCAGAAATTGATTACTCCAGATGCTTTTACCTCAGTTGTTGCAACAAAGGTTAGTGGTGAGATAACATTTCCTTCTCCTCTCTTTGTTTCAGTGGTGGATAGCAAGGTGATCCTGGAGGGTCTTCAGAGGTACGGCCCCACGCCAATCTATCTGCCTGTCAACTACCAGATCTTCAACGCGGAGTCGGCGTTCTTCCTACAGGAGGCCAACCAGGACCTAATGAGGAACTCCAGCCTGCAGGCTCGCACTGAGTCTTTCTTCATCCACCAGGCCCGGCAGATGCCGTTTGTCAACGCTAGCTACGGGCCGCTGTCTGTCCAGCAGCCGGTCCCTCTGGATCTGCTGCAGACGCTGCCGGGGCCCTTCAACCCCCCAACCTTCGGTACATCATCAGCGCCAACATCAGCATCATCATCGCCGCCTCTCTTCACATTCAACTGGAAGGTCCACACCTATATCATCAGCGACAGGATTCACCCCAGTTGGCCAAAGGTCCAAGTGTTGTTCTACATCGCGGGGAGGGACTGGGATGATTACAGCGCCATCCACAAGCTGCCTTGCGTCAGGATGTTCGCCTTCCACGAGACTCAAGAGGTGCGCGGGACATGCAGGCTAAAAGGTGAGCTGGGGATATGCGTGGCCGAGCTCGAGCCCCTCGCCAGCTGGTTCAGCCTGCCCACAGTGAGACCGGGCAGGCAGAGGGTCTCGGAGCAAGCCCAGGGAACGCCTGTGGAGCTCTACTACATGGTTCAAACCACGGACAGCGGAGACTGCAACTTGGAGGATTCAAGGAAGGGCAGCTCTGTGCGCCCAGACCAGCAGAGGCCAATGGGCTATTACGCAGGGCACACCCCCATGCAGCGCATCGGCAGCGTCAGGCTGTTTCAGCCGCTGTCCGAGCTGAAGCTGGACAATAACTTTGTGGTGATGTCGCCCTCCAAACCCATCCGGCAACGAGAAACAGTCTCTACTTTTCTGGCTCTGTCTACGCTGTCCTTAGTGCCAATATTCACCCTCAGGTGAGTCAACCTCCTCCTTAGAGAACACTGTTCAATGTGCCACTCTACTAATCAGAGGTGGGAAGTAGTGGAGTACAAATACTTTGTTACTGTACTTAAGTACATTTTTCTGGTATCAGTACTTTACTCCACTACTTATTTTTCTGACGACTTTTTACTTTTACTTCTTACATTTTTAACACAAATACCTGTACTTTTACTTCTTACATTTTAAAAACAGGCTCGTTACTTTAGTTTTAATCTGCGTTTGGTGGCGTGATCATTATTATTTAGAGTCATTGCGTGCCTATTGATTTTAACACGATCCGTGTATCCTTAATTTCCTGGTCTTCTCTAAAGAAGAGGGCCCAATGAGAACTCGGCTCGATTATTGTTCTATTAATATAAAGGGAGGTCAGTTACTCTTTGAAACAGTTGGTAGTTATGGGTACTTTTTACTTGAGTACATTTCGAAGCCCATACTTCTTTATTTTTACTTGAGTAAAGAAGTTCAGTCAGTACTTCTACTTTTACCAGAGTATTATTAAACATGAGTATCTGTACTTCTAATTGAGTTAAGGATGTGTGTACTTTTGCCATCTCTGCTACTAATATTATCCAAACTCATTTAAACAGCCATCATCAGGCGTCAAGGAGTTAAAAAAGAAAGCATCGGTAGACCTTTGGAGGCAGGGGTGGATATCACTACAGCCATATATCTGAAAATGCAAGACAACATTTACATTATACATGTCACTTGTGTTTTTAGAAATGATGAGGCATTAAATAGAAGGATATTCTTAGTCATTGTTTGTCATAAATTAAAATGAGTCATAAAGGGTATAACTAATCTACAGCCTCTAGGTTTGTGAAATACATTTCACAGTTTGTAGGCAACACAGTTGTAGTCCCATCATGTATTTACTGTGGTGGCTGGGAGACATTACTTATAACAGTTTGTTAAATCAAAAATAATCTGCCGTTGGCAAAACTGGGGATTACTCTCTGGCATTTGAGATTAGAAAAATGTGCACATGATAAGCTTTTGATTTGCCACACCAGACTCCAGTTCACAATGTTGCCATGACACCGCTAGTCAACTGGCCAGCATTAGTTACGTCAACAAGCATTTTTATCTGGGTCATTCTTCTACCCTAAATCAAAATCTGACAGATGAAAGAAATATTAATGAGACCAACCAAGAGAGCCATCATTTAATCAATTACCTGGCTTTAATGTGTAGGGAAACAAAGCCAGACAACACTCTCAGATCCTGTTCCTGCTTTGCCTTTGCCAAGTAAATGCTAATTTGAGATGGCAGACATATTTTCTTTTGTGAAACAACATTATTTCAATGACAAATAATTGGTACTCATTTCAAAGTATTCTGGACATTCAAAGCACGAGCAATTGCAGTGATGTTCAAGTTAAGAAAAAAGCATAAAACTGAGGGCAAAGTTTAAAAATAGTTAATTTATGGTATATTTGTATGCTTACAGTTAGGAGTTCATGTTTACAGAATGTGTTCTTGTATTATTTATCTTGCTTACTCATAACATTATCTGAAAAAAACTTTTAATATACACATGTAGCTAATAGGCTTCTCTTTAGAAAGTTGTTAGTAGAGGCTACAGATAAAATGTTGTTTTCTTTAATTGCTATGGAATAAGCGTTTCACAGAAAGTGTTTGTTTGTGTTGATTGTGACCTTACAAGTCATTTTGGAGAGAAAATAATGAGTTAAATTATAGCGGCTAACACCTTCCAAACAGCATCGGCAGGGGATTCTTTTGACTGGATAACACCTTAATTACACCCTTGTGCTATTCAGGATGATTGTTTTCGTTACTCAGCTTCAAAATTGCTGTCTGAGTCAAATTTGTATCTGAGGTGATTCCACATATCAGCATCAAAAGTAGTTATTGATTCATTGAGCTTTGTCTCATACAGATTACCATTCAAGTGACTGTAATTGCTCCGTGTTGTGTGATGCAAATGAAGGTGTGCGGAATATGCATCCAACGGGCTACTTTTATGCCCGAGATCTAACTCATGGCAGATGAAACAGTTAGCAGCCTCAAAGTGGAGCTGTGACAGAGAGCCCTGGCAATTTGTCAACCCCGGGTGAGCAGGAAATCTGCCAAAAAGCCTCATTGCTTTTCGTCTCACTCCAGCGATGATGAACTCCCATGAAGTATTAGCACTCCCAGTGTGTGTTTATCACATTTGTCAGCATGTGTGGAAATGGGAACTTTATAGGCAGGCGGTATTTCTTCTTACAGGGCCTTTTTTGCACCAGCGTTGCACCCTGATCGTTTAGAAGTTCATATTTGTTATGTTTTTCCGTTGGGATAGCGCAGACTTTAAATTCAACCAAAATACCTCATTAGTGACCAAAAGATTAGACTTCAAAGTGTGAAAATCACAGGCTACTTAACACCACTTAATTGCTAGCTTAGCAAAGTCTGTAACTGAACGTACGGACGCTGATTGCTGTTCTTGCATCAGTTTTGTTGTGCCTTGCTTTTATGTTGTAAGGTTAAACCTGTGGATCAATGTCTTTTCATCTCAGTTGTTAGATTCCCTGATAATAGAAAAACTTTACTTGAAAATACTCTTTCAGGTCTTTATAATTCCCATGATGATGGTGTGAATACAAACTGTGATTACAGAAGGTGGGGGCTGGAGTCTTTGTGGATCCTTCCACTTGATGTGTTGAACGCTGTCTGTCAGTGTTTGTTTAACGGCGTGGGTGTGTTTATGGACGTTTACTTTAAAAGTAACCCTGGTGAGTTTCTCCCAGTGGTTAAGGCATCATTAACGATTTATGTTCTCTAGAGTTTCTCTCATCTTTACATTATCCTCCCCCATCCCCCTCCTGTTTTCAAAGGCTTAACATGTAACTTTCTTTCCTCTCAATTGAAGATGTTTCATTATTTTCAGCATTGTTTTGATAGGATTGCAAAACTCTTTTGGACTTTGGGGAAATAATGAGGTGTAAAATCCTCCTCCTTAATTAATTGAGATAGGATTAGGTGCATTTACAAGCATAAAACACCTTGAATTTGTCAAGCTCTTTATAAACTTTATTCAATACTATCAGCAAAATATAAAGTGAGACTTCTTTTTATTTCTTTTTGCCAATGTCAAACTTATTATGTAAAGTATACAGTATGTCCAAGGGCTAATATACTTCCCAATTTAAAAATCAGGATAACGTATTAGTCTGCTGAGTTTGCCTGTTTGAGCGCACCATATACAATCAGCAGGCTTACATGCACACTAACATTAGATTTAGTTGGATTACCCATCCATCATTTGGGTCACGGTTTAATATTTCAGTCTTTAAATCCTTAGCGGAAGTCTAACATGTGCTTTGAATGCAAATCGGTCCTTTTTTAGACAGATCAGAGCAGGGCTAGTGGTGGTGAATAAAATAGTTTGGTAACAGTAAATCAACTATTTTCATTTCAGCTAATAAAAAACATGTTATTGTTAGGGAATAATTTGTTTAGGTATTCAACCTTTGACACAGTTCATAATTTTCTCCTCTCACTGTCTCCTTTCTCATGGCATAGGCCTACGGCCTTGGGTATTGCTGCTGTCTCTCTTAAGGAGGAGCAGCTTGAGGTAGTTTACTGTTCAGGGACGTAGGTTCCCTGGCGCACATTCTTTTCTATGGACGAGAGCTCTAGTCCATAATTGTTTAGTCTCACTGATGAAGAATGTTGATTATGGCGCGCGGAGAGTTATGGTTACTGTGAAATGCGTAATGGCACTGCGCCACTGGCTGCACCCGACTTTTCTAGTACGAGGTGTGCCTATGGGTGCTGTCCTTTCATGGAAAGTGGTCACCACGGACGCATGTCTGACAGGTTGGGGAGGTATTTATGAAGGTCGCCCGGTGAGGGGTCTCTGGAGCAGAGACCTCCAGCGGGCGCACATAAATTACCTGGAGCTTTTAGCGGTGTTTCTCACCATAAAACGCTTTCTGCCTTTCCTCAGGGGACATCACGTCCTCGTGAGGACAGACAATACGACCACAATATCGTATATTAACCACCAAGGGGGTTTGCGTTCTCTCCAGTTACACACACTGGCGCGCAAACTGATCCTATGGCGCGGTAGACGTCTCCTCTCTCTGAGAGCGACGCACGTACCGGGAGTGATGAACCTCGGGGCAGATCTACTGTCCAGAGGTATACCACTTTATGCAGACTGGACTCTACATCCAAGGATTGTGAGCCAGCTGTGGGTGCGTTACGGCAGAGCCGCGGTGGATCTGTTCGCATCGAAAGACAACGCTCAGTGTCAGCTGTTCTTTTCGATGCGCGATCTAAATGCACCGTTAGGCGTGGATGCACTCGCGCACGATTGGCCCCCGGGCCTTCTGTACACGTTCCCACCCCTGGCTCTGATACCCCCAACTCTGGCCAGAGTGAGAGAGCAACGCCACACACTTATCCTGATAGCTCCGCACTGGCCAGCTATGTACTGGCCAGCGGAGATATATCAGCTGCTGTGCGGGCAGCCATGGCAGCTCCCACTACGCAGGAACATACTGTCCCAAGCGGGGGGGGCGATCTTTCACCCACACCCAGAGCGCTTGGCTCTATGGGCCTGGCCCGTGAGTGGTACAATCTGAATACAGTGTGACATGAAGCTGACCCTGGCAGCTGCCAAGCGAGCCAGTGGCACTCATGCACTATCTGTACAGTCTTCATGCACTCAGTTCGCCCCAGGGCAAACAGAGTGTGGTTGAAGCCCAACCCTACCTTTATCTTAAGGCGGTTGGTTCAGGTACCACATTTGACATTGAGGCATCCTCCCCGCCACTGTATTCCTCCGGGGAACAGCGGCCGGATTTGCCGTGTCCAGCCCGTGCTTTACGCACGTACAGGGACAGATCAAGGGTGCTTCGTCATAATGACCAACCCCTTGTGTCCTGGGCTAACCCTTATAAGGGCAAGCCTGTTACTAAGCAATGGCTCTCCCACTGGTTTGTGGAAGCAATTGCTTTGG